GAAAGGATCCGAAGTTCCGACCTACGTCAACGATCGAAAATCAGAGACGCCGTTCTACACGCCAGGATATCGAAAATAAGGTGGGCCGGACACGTGATGCGCTTCAACGACAACCGATGGACGAGAGCCGTTACCGACTGGATTCCTAGGGACGTCAAGCGCTCTAAAGGAAGACCACTGACCCGTTGGTCCGATTTCTTCACGAAAGCGATAGAAGAAAGATATGATGCTCAGCGAATCCCTAGAGCGAGGAGGACCCACTGGGCTACTCTTGCACGCGATAGGGAAAAATGGAAGAGTTGCTGCTACCCGCTCGAGTCACTCGACGATCAACGGGACGACAGGTGATACAGGTGATCGTCCCATTCTAATGTTCGCATGACGTAATTTGTAGGGTGGCAGTGAATAGTTTTGGCGAAATTGTATCACCTTGTCGAACCCCTCTTCTTACGTCAATGGTGATATTGTTGTAGAGTGGAGATATTTTGCTTGTGAAATTTTTATAAAACTCACGAAGGATCATTATGTACCGAGTAGGGACGCCCTGGATATCCAGAGCCTCTATAACCGCTTCTGTTTCCACTGAATCGAAGGCTTTCTTGAGATCGATGAAAGTGAGACAGAGTGGTTGCTTGTACTCTCGTAAAACTTCAACGAGTCTTGTATTCGTGTGGATGTAGTCTATGGTACTAAATCCTTGCGGGACCCTGCTTGTTCACATGGCTGTCCCTCGTCCAGTGTTCTGTCAATCCTGTTTAGGATGACTCGAGTAAAGAGTTTATAGACAACGGACAGCAAGCAGATTGGACGATAATTGCCTATGTCGGGAAGGTTTCCCTTTTTGAACAACAATAAGGTCTTGCTGGTTTTCCACTGAATAGGGACCTTGCATTCTGACAGGTAGCGAGTGAAGAGCCTAGCCAGGGTGTTGATGAGAACTGGCGGCAGGTTCTTCAGGTGTTCTGGTCTAATCCTGTCTGGACCGGGTGTTGTTCTGTTCTTCACCGACGATATAGCATGTCGGATTTCGGAAGGGAAAAGCGGTGGGACGACATATTCGTCCTCTTTCAACTTATATGACGGTCAGAGAACATGGCTAGCGAAGAGATCCGAGTAGTATTGGTGGATGATTTTCTCCACAGCCCTTCTCGAAGCTGTAAGTGTCCCGTCAAGGTATCGGAGTGCAATCATCTTGGTCTTATAGTTGGCGAAGCCTCGCTGGGCTTTGCGAATGCTCTTTCCAGCTTCTGGTGCTTCTGCCATAACCTCTGCTCTTCTTAATGAATCAACGTCACAATAACTAAATAAATCTTAATCACAACGTATAAAAACTGCACAAAAATTTAATTTGATAAACTACATAAATCATTTCGACATCTTCTCAGGAGAGGCTATGAACCTTATGAGCAGGAATTGATAGAGTGTATAGAACTTAAAAATTTGATTACCAAAGTAATCTAGAATTCAAAACACACTCAGCTTGATTCTCTTACTCATTATATTGAACCTTTTATAATATCCAGCAAATTTATGTGATACAGACCCTGCCTGCTTGATGAATGGGGAATGTGCCACACTGCTTCTGTATGATTTTCTATTATCGTTTTTCTTCTTTTTTTGAATCTCTACACCTATATTCGCTATCCAGATGCATACCTCCGAAGTGGGAATGTATACAGGGATGACAGGTCCTAATCGGGAAAACAACAACTAGTCAGAAAACAGCAATCGTTGCTGGTACTAGCCGCGTTTGAACTGCATGCATTGAGTTTTGAAACCTGCAGAGAATGTTGTATTCATCGAGTTTCCCATAGTTCTGTATATCTGTCGTAGTGCAATCATCACTGACTAGTTAGCACCCTGGTATTTGAGGTACCAATTTATCGCATAGTATTTTCAGCAAAAGAAGCATAACCGTCCCCAATAAGATGTTATACATCTTGTGTCCGAGGAATTGAAGAATGAAATCTACGACCTCTTTGCAAAAAACCCTTCGTATTCAGATTTTTTCCAAACACAACTTCGGCAATGTAAGGTGCTATAAAAAAACACACCTTTCTAAATCACGAACAATTCAGAAAAAGCACCAACCTCATCCAACCTCTGAAGGTACTTTATAAAATGAATCTCGATCCAGCAAGGTGTATCCAATACATTTGCTCTGTGATAACTCTTACCAAATCCCTTCACAAAAGATACTCGACATATGCATAAGTTTTAAATCATAACAGAACCCTCAAAGCGTAATGGGCAGTTTTTGTACTATACATAGGCCGCTCCGTGAGTTCTGGCACTAGAGCATTGAACACCAAATTCACTATGCAGGAGTAATCAAAACTTTATAACTTTGGTTACATTTTCTTTGTGAAATTCTTTGTGAATATTTTAGATGGAGCTGCTGCTGGAATAAATTGCTTGCTTTTCATGCACGAATGGCGCGTTAGGGAAGATGCTAGTGAAGCGGTGCGCAAGGTAAATGCAGCTTGGAGCGATGATATCGTTGCAGAAGAGACGACTAGGAAGTAGTTCGCGAGGTCCAAAGCTGGAGAGAACAGTCCGCAGGATTAGTTGCACTTCGGCCATGAGCAGGAAGCTCTATTCATTTAGAGTGTGGCTTTGCTAGAATTTTCCCCTGCGCGCCATTCTTTCATAAGTAGCAAGCAAATTCGTTCCAACTACAGGTCCATTTCAAAGTACAGACGTTGTACAAAAAAATGTTCGCAAGAAAACGCGCGATCGAACGATACCGAAATCGTGGAATTTCATTCACTTCTGGTTAATAAATTTAGTGTCAATTGTTCTAGTGCCAAAACTCACAGAACGACCAAATTTTTCATCGAAACTATGGCGAAAACAGTGACCTTATATATAAAACGCACGACTAGCCATAAGGTAAATTCATTAATCAAGCTTTTGTCAATATTTATATAATTAGATCATATTTATATGCACCTGAAAAGCATAGACATGACGATATCCTTGCTGTCATGCTTCTTCTAGCAGTTGCTCGAATGTAGCCTCGTCAAATATGTCGATTGTCCTATCTAAACTCTTAGGTAAAGATGACAGGGTACGTGGACTGAAAGCGCTCATCAAAATCAGTGCTTTCTTTCTATATTCGAATCTGACTTACTAAATCACTAAAATGTAATAAATAAGAGGTTCTAAATATCTGTGTACAACAGATAACTCAACCTCGTCGGTATTGTAAATAAAATCGCCGCCTCTAACTAGGACCTTAGGTGAACAAAGATAAATGCTAGAGCTCATAGTGAACCTGTGTCGCGAAATAAAATCAAAGCCCAGGTTCCATTCTCAGAAAACCATGTTCGTCGAGATCCAAAGTTTTGCATATCATTCAACATTATTTAAAGCTATGATATCGCGGCAAATAATATGATATATGATAAAAGGCAACTAACTTCTTGATTTCTTCAGGTGTACGCGCAGCCTCAAGGCATAGAATACACTAGGCGTTTAGCAATTCCTGATACAGTTCTCTTTGTTTCACGTAACTCATTAAAGAGCAACTCAAATTTTTGCAAACAAGACGAAAACTAAACAAATTGAAAGCGCAGAGAAATTACCAGGCTTCGGAAATGAAACCTGAATAACAATGAAAAAGGAAAGGACTTGGAAGTCTTCGACACGAAATACAGCAAGCATACCTCTTATTACCCCAAAAACAAACATGATATTGTGAAAATATACTTTTAGAAGATCCACTATGACTCGTTTTTTTTTCTAAAACATTTCAGCGGCTACACACTCTAATTCGTATTCTAAAGCACCAATTTGTCCTTTTGCCATAACTAACCTACTACGACCTGAAAAAGGAGCTTTAAAGTCATGATTAGACTCGAAAAATCGTCTTCATCAATAGAGCCCACGAAGCCCTATCAGCAGAAGAAACTTGATATCATAGCTACGACAAGAAATCACTTGAAGTTCAACAAACGTACGAGATCTAAACGATTCTGATACAAATAGAATCGACCAGCAAGTATGAGTGTTTTCAGCAAGTGTTCTCCGTCTTCTTGTAGAGCAATGTCCGCCACATCATCATAATGTTTGCCGCGCACCATCACAATAGCTGTGTCTTATGGCCTAAATTAGACAAACAGGTAACTTTACTATTCCACGAAGCGAATAAGAAAAGTAAAAAACTCTAGATAATTCCTAAGACCCATTTTTATTAGACTGCATGTCGAATTGATCCTTCAAGTCTCTAAAGAGCAGAAACCGCCATTGAGACTTAGCCACTGTTTTATTACTTCACTGGATAATTACATTCAATACATGCTGCCATTAACAACCTCGGATTTACCTATCATGAAAATTACGTCTAGATCATATTAGTTCTCTGCATAACAATGTAGGAATTCAGGTTGTGGAATCAAAGCGGCATATCTCATCTCAAGGAAAAAATTCAGTAGTTGAAATGAGAATCAGTGAAATTCAGACTTCTTGTAACGAGAAACAAGATTAATCCTTTGAGGTCAGCATTTAGTCGCTGCGAATGCGCACAATCTTCGCAACCTGATCATGGTTTTTTCCCATCGCTTCATAAAATGTCCAAGTTTTTCTTTTTTTACTTTGATAGCGCACGATTTTCTAAATTCCCCAGTACTTTTCTATTACTGGGCAGGGATTTTGAGGAACCTCTTTTGCTAAACAAAGGCTTTCTAACAGAGTATTAATAATCATCAAGATATATTTATTTTTGGAAAGACCTTAAAACGCTGCAGCGCGAAAAATTAAATTCTGTTTCGTAAGCCTAGCGCATTATCGCGCTTACTGCTCACTGGGCAGAGCTCTTCCCCTGAACTTTATACCAACCAGTACGTATCGTGAAACTTTCAGAAGTGTATGTGTTTTATAGAAAGGTCTTTCGACAGTGCTGTGGTAGTGAAAAAAATAGTTTTATCGGGGTAAACCGCTGACGGTTGATTAGTGACAGACAGATACGTTATAGTGCAAAAAGAGTGGTGGCAATGTGGGCGTTAGTAGAGCAACAGGTTGCAGCACGCACTCCTTGATAGAGTGAGGTGCGGGTTCGAGTCTCGCCGACGCAAATGCTTTGCACATCATTCTTGATCAGTGGGTATCTTCAATATTTCTATTTTTGATGTCAGCTCAGAGTTACCTCAAGCAACGATACGATCCGACGAACTACCCTCCAATACACGCATGCTCAAAATATGAAAAGTAGAAAAGGCGGTATCGAAACGGATAATGCTCTTGGGGATATTTCAAGGCTCACCGAGCACTAATGGCAGACGACACGAACAAACAAACTTATTGGAACTGGTTGGATTTACTGTGTAATAAATAGGCCGTGTAAAGTTAGAACCCTTTTGGTTTTTGATGTGATTTCTGCGCTGAAATTGCTTGATTTTAGCATCGCGTGACTGCGCATTTTCTTGCAAACATTTTGATGTATAGTTTGCCTATACTCACTATGAAATGGAGCTGTCTTGGGAACAAATTCGCTCGTTACTCATGCAAAACTTCGCTGGATTTGAACATGAGTAGCAAGCGAATTTGTTCCCGCAACAACTCCATTTAAGAGCAGTATAGTCAAATTGTATACCAAAGTGTTCGCAAAAGATGCGCATTTGAACAATATCAAAATCGTGTAATTTCATCGTGAAGAACATATCTATGCCAAAACGGGACTAACTTTTTACATAACCTATTAACAGAAACACAGGTGTTACGTAAGGGATTATCCATTAAGGTCTGATATTACAAGCCAAATAAGGCAAATCAGTCACTCATGGTCGAAAAAAGATTATCTTTTTATTTTTGACATCTGCATTTCTCCACATGATGTGAACTACCACTTACTAATTATGTCACATGAAACAGTCGAATAGACCGATTTTTGAAAAATCTTAGCATTAAGAATTGATATGTCAAGCTTGGAGACATCTTGTCTGGCTAGCGCAAAGATGTTTATAGTAGTCTTCGCTAGCCGACGTTCAGACGACCTCGTCTTCTTCGCAGCCTGGAGCGACGTTATAATCGACTTTTCGGATGATTTGGGGATTCTCAATGTTTATTATAAGAGCTTCATGTGAGGTTCCCGTATAAACAGTCATATACGACATGAGCCCCGGTCCTGAGAAAGGAGAAGTTGCCGAAACGGAAGTCATCTAACTACTTCTGCTACACTAATAGGCTCTAAAAAAAGTTGTGTCGAGTTTCAAAAGCATGGATTGAATTTATCTCTACACTAATTAACGATTTCGTCCCTCTCTAGGCTTACGCGTAAATCGGTCTTCTTCTTCACGGAATGTCTTGAACCAAGGCTGAGTTGCACGAACATCGCAAATTCCGTTACTATACGATTTGCAGATTTGTCGACAAACCTCAGAAACCCTGTCATCGACTTTATAGTGAAAGTGGAGCAGCAAACGAGTTTCTTCCCTGGGCAGTTCCATTCTGATGGCTGTGTAGACAAATGACATATCGCTTCATACGTAGGAGAACGAGCTTTCTGGTGGGCTTAATTTCGCACAAAATACACGTGTTGAAATCTTTTTTATCAGCCATGAAAACAGAACTCTAACTACAAACTATTATTACCCACCCAACCCCCACCCCCCGTAGAGGAAGCAACAGAGGTCTTTCATATACACATGGGTGTCATAGACAGGTGACACTGGGAACAGGGACTTTATCATAACAATGCAAAAACACTCACAACACTCTCCGACGGCGGATGTGTAACTCCATCGCTATGTGGTCCCCTGCGACTGGGAGCGCTGAACAAATTGCAAAAAAAAACTACTATCATCAGAAAAAAGGAACAAAAATTGATAAAATAATGATTAGAAGAGATTCCCAATATTGTGACGACAAATTTGGATCGTCACTGGCCAATTTGAACGTTTCCCCATACTTCGCCGAGTTTGTAACGGCATTGATCTCGGTTTGTTTCATTTTGGCACTGAAAGTAGTCAATCAAATATGGATAAAAAGCACATGAATGGAAAATCAGACTGATTACAGTACAGGCTTGCAAAATCCGATCAATAAAATTGATAGTAAAAAGATTAAAAGTATCTCAAAAATCCTTGGAAAAACAAATAACTCTGATGTTTATGAGTGACTGGGAAGTCAAAGTAAGGCAACGAGCTTTAAAAGATTACAATATATCAGCGTGATCAACAAGGTGAGATGATTCAAAACACTGCCTTTCTTGAGCGTCGGCAGTGACATATAGTTCTTTATTAACATATCAAAACCCTCCTTTAACCTGTGCATTTACAGTGATATTGGCATTTTGCCAGTCGTAATAAGTTGTACATAGAAAATACAGAGATAAATCTATCTGTTCTAATATATTTTATTATATACGACAATTTTAAACTGCAATAGTGACTAAAATGGAAAAAGAATGAATCGATTGTCAAAAAAGATGTTGCACAGTGTGTGGTCATGCGAGTTTATTCATAACTTTCACCATAACTAGATTTTTATGAAAGTGATTCGTTTATTTCGATTTATTTCTAGTTGGTGTACACGAGGAAAAGTCGAAAACGTAGGGATCACAGAGGAATTTCGTGCAATCAAGATTAGTCGTATTCAGAAGAACTAGTAAGTAAAGCAGAGTATTCGCTTCATTATTGGTTCAGCATTCTATAAATTTTATTTACAATATAGGTGTAGACGAGGCGCCGCGGCCAAGTGGTTTTCATGGTCGTCGCGACGCGCATGGAGCCGAGCTCCACCCTCAACTCTCTTCGGCAGTCAACAATAACGCCCTATGGAACGCCACAGCAAAGGTATCGCCGAGACTGCAAGAAGACTCGCTCGAGCAGTATTCTACGCCGCTCATGAAGAAGACGAATAATGAAGTGAATTCTAGAAGTACTGGGATCCGCACAGTGAAAAAAGAACACTGTGACAACGAATCAAATAGAGTGGTAGAATAGAGTGGGCACACACATTTCCACTGCAATTTCGTCCCAGGAGCGTGTCAAAGCCGTTTAAAGTGTGTCTAAATTTTTTTGTGGTGAGAAAATTGAACCGTCGAAAGGAGATGGTGTACCGTGCCTCTCACGTAGTAGTGGAGAGCCTCTCGATCCTTGAAAATTGTTCCGTTAAAGTTATTTAAAGAGCTATGAAATGGACGAAACACAACGAACTATTCTGAGGGTATATTGAACAGAATACAAACAAGTAGATCACTTAGATTGGAATTCTCATTCTGAACTGAATTACATTAGAAATTATCACACTATCATTCAGAGCGAAAAAAAGTTGATTATGCGTTGTTACGCCATGAATCTACGTTTTGTATCAAAAACTAGTGAAATGTCAAAATGACTGAACGTTTCTTGCTATGATAATTACGTTGTAGATAATCCTTCAATACCAATCATAGTCAAAAAGGCAACCAAAAAAAAAAACGCCGAGTGGTAGAGAAAAGTGAGGCAGACAGTGATTCCCACGCCGGGGTTGGAGGCATAGAGAGGAGGTGGAGCAGACCGTCGAGCTTTGCCAGTTGGACAGGCAGAAGGTCGGATCCATAGTCCCGAAAGAGTTAGTCAAGATGTTCTTACACCTAGTTATGATGATATGCTTGAGCCTAGTTATTATAGAGACATTGAAGAGTGAGTGGTGACGCAAATGTGCTTCTGTGGTGAAGTGGTAGTATGCGTGCCCAGGTATGGATGAAACGCGGGTCAACTCCACAGCTGGGCCCGTATTTTTGCTCACCACTCAATTTTCATAGCTATGTAAGTAACATCATAACAATGTGAAAAAATGCAGTGAAAATACTATAAATGGAGTATTACATTTGTTATGATGATTCAAAAATTCACGGCCTGGAATCGCCATTACTCTTGCATCAACCTAATTGTCAGCAGACATGCACTTCCCACTTCTACACTCTTATTTGATCACGAGTCACAAATGCAGCAACTAATATTTCATAGCTATTGGCGTACTGCAACTGATTACAACGATATCATTTCACGTGTAAGATCGTCAATCGCTCTCTCGGGCATTAATCCCCAATGTTTTGATCTTCGTAATTACGTGAGATTTGTCTTTGCTTAAGACCTCATTCACACTTCTGCTTGATTCGTCGATAATATTGCAAGCGTCTCCTTGAAATGGCTGTCGTAGTTGTTTTTCCATGTTATGAATATACACTCTCATGTTTTTTTGGTGTATAGAAAACTAATACATGCACGTAAAATCCGGATATAAAACGTTATCTTTTTCGCGCTTTTACAGCGCTCGATTAAAACCTTCCCAGAAACCGTACTTTCAAATCGCCGAGGAACGAAAATCGAGTGAGTACTGAACGTGTCGTAAAACCTAAGCTCAGACGCAAGCGGTGCGAATAATTCAAGTTGAAAGTGAAAAGTGATTTGCTATTCGCTGATACATCGAAGAGAGATCCTCTTAGAAACTAAGCATAGTATTGAAATCGCCGTGAGTTATCGAATGATTACTAAAAATCTAACAAAAATTGTGCCCGACCAAAAAGGCCTCTGTAAATTGCGTGTTCAACAGAACACACGCGGTCCACGGTTGTAAGACGACAATCTAAATCTACAGATCCTCGACAATAACAGTCATCATTCTAACAAGACGAAATCTTCACTACGAATTACATAACTCGTAGTTCTTCATTTCTTTACAGTCCCATTTGTATTTAAGGAAGCAAAACAATCAAACAAGCAGTATTTTACCCGTTAAAACTGCCGATATTTATGACTCCTGGAGATTTCTTTCAGTATTTCAAAAACTTAAGTTCGATCACGCCTGTTTTGAAAACTACTCATAAGTATCTCGAAAAACCAAATAGGTTTGAAAAAAAGAAGAACGCAGCTACTCTGAGAAGAATAGGTTGAAGTCTCATTCACAAGTAATCCAGGTAACAACTGCCTAAGTTTTCTACATTTGCATATCGTAAAATCTTCATCAGTATGCGGAAAACCGCCTCAAAAGTCTATCATAAATGCGTGTTTCTCAAATATTCGGCTAAATGACATCTAGCTATCAATTTTTCACGCCTTTAAGACGAGACGTTAGCACATGCACTGCAAC